CTGATTTATCAGGATGAGTAAGTTAAAAATAACTGTTTTTGTCTGTTTTCATTGTAATTTATTTATATTGTTTTAAATATTCTGCATTTAATGAGTCCAAGGTTGTAAAGCTTAATTTTGATACCCTCAGCATATCGGTGATTTGGCCCTGTTTTGCTTTGGACTCACCTTTGCTGTTGGGCGTATAGAGCGTCTTGTCGGTCTGTATGAAGATGTACCCAGACTGGAAGGACACCAGGACAACCTTTTCCAGCAATCGGCCCGGAAACTGAGCTTGCACGTAAACATATTGTTTTGCGGTGGGATCCTTTCTGAATTCTCCCACTGGAATCTGAAATCAGAATCAAAAGACGGATGCTTTGCTTCAGGAGCTGCAACAGAACCCTTTTATGAAAAGCCTACTTTTGCGTCGAGGGATGTTAGCAGCCGTTTGAGTATTTTACTCACCGTCACTTTTCCCAACCCCTGGTAGTTATTTGCACTGTTGAGGATCACGGTTGTCCCAGTCAGCTTCTTGTTTTTGGTGGGATGGTTCATCACGTTGATGCTGACCTCCATGTCCCCTCCAGTGCAGTCCTGACATTCAACAAAGATGTTTTCTGCTGTTCCCACACGCATTAGGTTGGGGGCAGACATCACTTTGCTACAGAAAGATCAAATTGTACGTTATTTATTTTGAAAGATACATTCTCTGGTTAGCACTTGTGCGAAACAATAATTTACACTAAATGTGCTGCAGGCATCAAAACATGCATTGGACAACGGAGACTTCTAGCTGAACCCTTTCTAGGTTTCCTTAAATGTAGAGTGCAAAACGGAATAATGAACAAAAAAAAGAATAAAATAAAATAAAAAGTAGATTGCATGTACCCCTTGCATGCAATATTGTAAAGTATAATGTTGGGCTTTCAGGGAAACTCTTGTGTTTTTGCAGAAAAGCACTGAATGATTACTATTGCATTATTATATTATTGCTCCACTTGAAACAGCAGAAACCTGCTTCAAGGCCTTTTACGTTGCAAATTGTCCTCTGGTTACCGTTTTGTGCAATCTTTTCATATTTGTTTGTTCAGTAGTGGACTTTTGATCTCCACTCTGGACTTCATACTTAATGAATGAGCCATTGATTATCTTGATTAAGATCCAGCAGAGGATCAATGAAGCTTATGATGGTGACGATCGACTCTGTTTGCCGTGTCTGGAGCGAGGCGAGGCCACGCAAACACTGCGCAAAAAAATTGAGGGCAGCTGTCTGGCACCGCTTGAGGAGGCTTAACGGACAGCAGTTCATTATTAGAAAACTGTACTAGCAGTAAAGATTTAGCAAACTATAAACTTCTAAAATATTCACACAAGAAATAAAAAATTTAAGTGAAGGCATTTGACAAAGTATACCAACTAATTTAAAATCTTCAAGAAAACAAACTTTAGCGTTTTTTTGTTGTTTTTTTTTTAATGAATTTTTGTCATGCTTCAAACACTCAGGTGTACTTACAGGTCAGCTCCATCAGCCAGGGAGGCAAAGGCCAGAGAGGCCAGCAGCAGCAGAAGAGCTCTCCTCATCCTCCGGTCCGGTTCTGATCTGCTGCCAGGGTAGACTGAGCCTCGGCTGAGAGCCCCTTTTATCCTCCGAGCTCAGGGGCTGGGGATGCCCTCCCACATTCACCCCCATCACCCTCCCGTCTGTCCAACTCTTGCCTGTGCATACGGTAAACAAACAGATGAAACACACAGATTCCCAGCAGCAGTTGAGAAATTGTTCAGTTCTGAAAAAAAAATCTCTATAAGTAAATAGTGAAAAAGAAATCAATAAAGGGTTTGCGTGTCCCACTAACGTCTGAAGGCGAGTAAATGGCAAGATCACGGGAACAAATACTCACAATGAAGTTGTGATTTTTTTCTTTTTTTTAAAGTACCTATTATTAATGTGCTGTTTTAATTTTCCTTAAACTCTCTTTTAGCTTTCGATTCTTTGCCGGCCGCTGGTGGTCAATCAATAAACACATGCAGGATTAAAGACACAAAACAAGCAAAAACACACAAAAAAACTCGTGTTGCAAAAGTTTTGTTATGCAATTTCTAGGTAAATTATTGGTGGGACTTTTTGGAGTTACAAAGGAGCATTTTCAGCAGTGAAAGAAAAACATATGTTTAAACAAAAAAGATTAAAAAAAATAAAAAAGTAGGATAAAGATAGCATACTGTAATGTTTCAATCTTACTGAGTCGTTATATGTATTCATTGTATGATTGTTAAAAAAAAACATAGTTATCAGAAAAAATGTTATCATGAACAAATTTATAGGTCTGAAAACATCAGTCTGTACATAACTAATCTGTTTAATGTGTAAAGTGAAAAATGAATTAACTTTCAGTTGGTAGAGCTGGTTGTGACATGACTGAAAACCTGTGACTGGCAGGTTTTACAAAGAATTGACTCTGGAACGTTGAATACAACCTCACATAAAATTTATAAAATTTATAGGTGTAAAAGACTTTATAAAACCTTTCATCAATTCCTTTAGATTTCAAAACTCTAAGCACTGACTTGTGGTGGTCTGTTAAATACAATTTTAAGATAATTTGATGTCACAAGTGAAACAGTTTAGGAGCTAAGAATAATTTGGCAGCATGTTTCTTTTGTTTGCTTCATAGTAAAAACTGTTTTAATGTATTTTTCTCTTGCCAACATAAAGCAAGGAGTTATTGTTAAATATTTTCACAAGACTGCAGATTTTGTTCTTTGCAAAACTGTTGATGACACTGGTGTTTCTTAACTCATCTGTTGATTTTATTTTTTGCGTTATTAAAAGTATTTGAGAGATATCTTCTTTGTGTTCCATACTTTGTTGACGTGGATAAACTTTCTCTAACCTGGAAGCGTGCGCTCCAGACTGAGGGTTTGCTTGTCTTTAATTTCTTACTCTACACTTATAAGTCAGGTGAGTTCAGGTCATCCGTAATTATCTGGAAACCTTCACATTTATGGCTTCGTTAATATACTTTCTCTTTCATATTAAGATTGTAAATGAAAGTAATCGCCGCCCAGAATTGCCAGCAGTTGTGTGAGGTAACTTTTGCAAAAGTTCAACTATCTCAGGCTGAGATAACAGATGTCCTTTCACTTACTGCCGTCTAGCTCAAGGTGGCGCCCTTTGCCCCTGAGTGAGCCAACCGGCTTTGTAATGAAATGTGTAACATGGCAAAAAAGAAGAAAGTAGAGAACAAAGGAAATAAATGAAGTAAGTAAGAAAGGAACAAAGAAAGGAAGACAGAAAGAAGTTGTCGCATGAGCGTCATTTTTCAACAGTAATGCGATGATTGTCTCCTCATTTCTTCTCTCCTTCAACAGTTTCTGTTTTGTTTCTAAGACGGGAAGCTTTTCGTTTGCCCTTGTTCTGCATGTTTTCCAGGGCATGTGAGGATTTTCTCTTGTTTAAAAAAACACATTACTACGGTTATGCGGACAAGTTTGTTTGAGCAGTGAGGAAGGCATGTCGGAAGGCAAACAAGGCGTTGTGAACTCAGGGACTTCTGCCTCTAATTATTAAACCCGGCTCCTCGCAAAAAGCAGGGTGACTGATGCCTGGAGCATTTCTCGAATACAGACACATCTCAACAAATTAGAATATTTATTAAACTTTTATTTACTTTAAAGAAAATTATTTTAATATGTAGACACATTGGAAACAAAATGACATATATTTTGTTAAAGCATTTGTTGCTTAGTAATTACTTGGCTAATTGAGAATATTGGACTATTGCCTAGAACAATAGAAACTGTTGAGAATTGTGATCTTATATGATCATTTTTTCCTACACAATTGAGGGGGAAAGCCTCGTCTGTCTTGGCGCTCTCCACAAGGAGAGGGCAAGCCATAAAATATCTTCCCAAAGCAGGCTGACCACGTCGTTACCTTTGAAACCTTTTCGTGTCACACTAAACAAATGTCACAGAATATATTAAAAGCACAGAGGGCCTGATTCCATAATGATAAAACAGTCAATTAGGACAGTTTGTGGTTTTTTTGTAATGTCTGTATGGAAGTCATTGAAACTGTGATGGTGAATAATTTGCAATCGCGCGTCCCTAACAGAATCCAAACTGACTGATGATTTTGGGAGCTGTGTTATCTTCCAGATTTGCTCCACTTTGTTTCATCTAGTCCAAAGTCAGTGTAGAGGTCTACCAGGAAACTTTAGAGCACCTCATGCTTCCCATACTGACAAACTTTATAGCTAATTTTATTTTCGACATGGCAGCTGCCCACCATGTTAACATTACCACCGTTTGGTTAATGACTGCTGTGTTACGTTACTGTGGATGCACTGGCCAACAAACTCAAAACCTACATGACATAGAGAAGCTAAGGGCAATGACAGGAGATAGACAAAAAAAAAATGCCAAAGTCATTTAGTGGGGTGACATTTCTGTATTTAAAAAAAATGAAATGCCATTATAAAGAGCTGTTTTACTCAAAATGTAGTCAATAAATAAATTCTGTATCAACAAATTAATAATAAATATTCCATGAAATAAATAGAGTTGTTTCGTTTTCTTCTATCATAAAATAAAGTAAAAATGTTTTTCAAGAATATTTTTTCCTTGATTCTTTTTAATTTATTTCAGTATTTATTTCAGTATTCATTTCTTTACTTATATGTTTTACAAATCCATTTTGTTTAATTTCATGAGTACAATTCATTCATTTTAATAATTCAATAACATTTATTTATTCAGTTTTGAATGAAACGGGTTTCCATACAAAATACTTCACTTTACATGTAGCAAATGTATTTACACGACAGTGAAATAAATGATTACTCAAATAATATTTTGTGGGTTGCGTTAAAACAACACACGTCATCACAAATTCACTAAAAGGAGATAAAAAAAAACATACAAACCCAAGATTAAAAAAAAAAAAGGCGAGCTGACTCTGATTGGCTGGGGTGGAACACGTGATCGCGCTAATTTACATCCGGCAGACAGGTGAGCGAGAGAGGGAAGGAGAAACCAGTATCGCTTCCACACCTGGCTAACGCACAATGATTCCTGTCGATGTTGCGGACCTCCTCGCTTTAACCCAGGAGTCTCCACTGCGGCTGCGGTCTCACCTGGACTCTCTCGCTGGCCTGCAGGTAACTGCCGTCACTTTGCAGCTAAACCTGGCGCTTGGTAGAGGAACTCCGTGGTGTCTGTTGTCCGTGAGCGGTTTCACGTGTCATCAGCAGCAGTCTCACCTGCGCAGGAATCAGCAGGTAGTCAGACAGGCGGAGCAGGATCCGCGGCATTCCTCCCACCCTCAGCGGAGACATGCGTCCGCTTGTGGGAGTTTAAAACCTTTGCAGGAGGGTCATTAATTTTACGAGAGGATCTTTGTGAGAGAGAACACAGCATATCTACTTCTGTTTTCTGTTGAAACAAACTAGTGCTTTATGAAAGTGACTTATTGTATCTCCTGCTTGTCACAACATTAATGGTGAGTGTTGACTTTTACTTGCCCACACAAACCTGCTGGTATCAATACCGTTGAGCGGTGTGATATCCTTCCGCTGCTGTAAGGAATTGGGTCTTTTTCTTTTCTTTTCTTCTATCAAGGATGCGGTCGATTCTGGTCTTTAGCTAATATCTTACACGGACTGATTAATTTGTGGACAATGTGCTGAAGTATGACATGGCTATTGATGGATTTTATAGAAATTTCTAATTCAGAATGTCTAAAAGCTGATTTGGTACATGTCAATCTTACTGAAATACATTTTATATGAAAATCTTTCAAACGGTTAAAAGTTATAGTGCAAATGTTAAAAAACAGAAATGTCAAGACATTATGAGACTAAATACACAACTTTCTGTGTACAAGTATCCTGCATTTAACATTGTGCCACACCTTTTGGCACCTTTGGTAAAGTTTTGTGAAACGCTTTAAATGAGTTGTTTCTTCCTCTTTTGGTAATTCATCATCAGCACTGATGCGTTAAGGAAAATTCAGTCTTTAAGTTTAGTTCATTTTTTTTCCCCAATATACGAGTAAAAGGCAGTGTAATTGCTAGTATTAAGAGAATCACTGGTATCACAATTGTTGGGACCAAATAAGACAATATCCTATGAAATATTGCTTCCAATCCAACCATCCTTTGCAAATGCAATTTTGCACACTCAATGGAATTGAATCCAATGCAGTTCAGCTTCAGTGGGAATCAATGCTTGTGGAGGGTGGTGAAAATTTCTTTACTTTATTCCGGGAAGGCAGCAAATCTGAATTGGAACAGAATTATAAAAAATTATTTAGTATTTTATATTCACTTATCATAATGAAAAACATCCTCAATTTTGTTTGCCTGGTTTATCTTCTCTCAAAGATCTTGGTTCTGTCTTTCTGCTTCTTCTTCTGCTGGCTGTTTATCTTTGAATCTGACTGCTGCTGTTTTTGGTGATAATACTGACCTAAAGACTACAACAACAGCCAACACAAACACATTAATGTGCAAAACATACTTTCTGTAGGTATTTTTCTTCAATGGAAAATTCAACATTGTGTGTTTTAAGTCTTTTTTTTTTTGTTTATGAGCACTCATTCTTTTTTGATGTGTTTTTTTCTAATCGGTTTCAAATTAAATGATTGTTTTCTGGACTTTATTGTGTCCTCTTTTCTACTGCGTTGACCTGCAGGATGGTTTTCTGACTGACGCGTTTCTTAAACAACTGAACCGTTCAGCCGTCTTGGCGTTTGTTGAATGGTTGCTCTGCTCTGTGACTTGTCATCTGTTAAGTCAAATTGCCATATCTTCAGTCTGAGTCACTTGGTATCTTGAGCGATTTCGATCTTCCTCCATGCTCACGCTTCCTCTTAAGTGATGTTTATTTTTTCCTTTTGCATCTTCCAGATTTGCGTTTTGAAAATTGCAACGTTAGGCAGCTTTGTCTTTTTTGTGTGTCCATTTCCCTTATTTAGCTACTTAACATATTCAATCTTAAATTTTCTAAAATATCTTAGAATATTTGAACCCTAACATAAACAAGCAAATGATATACACTTTGATAAATGTATTATTTCATTGACTCACTTTTTTGTTGTCGGGGAAAAGATCAGGTCACTTTTCTAACCTCTAATTTACTGGAACCAATGTAATATCAGAAATTTGGCCTGGTTGTATTTAAAAAGAAACTGGAACGCTTGAAGAAAGAAGGGGGGGGGGGGGCCCCACAAAACATGTAGTCCTACGTAAACTCTTGGTACCCATTTGGTTTAGGCCCACATTATAACTCACTAAAGCATTGCTCATCTTTTCTCGCTAAGCTTTCTTCACTAAACATGTCCATTACGGTGAACCTTTTTTTTTTTTTTTCTTCCCAACCAACCATTTATATTAATCTTTTGTATTTTTGTACTTTCAGGTGCTCCACTGGTACACCATCTACTTGGTCCAGATGTAAGATTAAAGGCAGCACAGGCCTCACAAATACTTCGTATTCTCCCTTAAGGTGAGGTGAATCTGTTTTTATCCCATTTGATCTAATCCTGCATAGGAAATCTGTTGGGGAAAAATTGCTCACTGAAAGACCAGATTGACTGGGTCCACCAAACAGTCAAATTTTATTTGTATAGCACATTTCAACGGCAAGGCATTTCAAGGTGCTTTACATAATTAAAGAAGAAATAAAAACAGTGTGACATTAATAAATAGATGAAAAGTAAATATAAAACCATTGAAGACATCAAAACCCTAATTTAGCCATAAACGACTCTAAACAGGTGGGTTTTAAGTTGAGATTTAAAGGCACCCAGTGTTTCAGCTGTTTTACAGTTTTCTGGAAGTTTGTTCCAGATCTGTGGTGCATAGAAACTGAATGCTGCTTCTCCTGATTTGGTTCTGGGGATGCAGAGCAGAACCAGAAGATCTGAGGGGTCTAGACGGTTGGTACAGCAATAACAGATCTTTAATGTATTGTGGTGCTAAACCGTTCAGTGATTTATAAACTAACAACAGTATTTTAAAGTCTATTCTCTGAGCTACAGGGAGCCAGTGTAGGGACTTTAAAACTCTATCTTCCTGGTTTTAGTGAGAACGCGAGCAGCAGCGTTCTGGATCAGCTGCAGCTGTTTGATTGATTAGTCATCGGTTATTTATTATCAGGAATGAAGTCTTGTGTGGTGACAAGTTAAACATTATTGTATGCTCATGCAAACTGCAGAAGTATCTGATAAATTACCGTTTCGGTATTATTTAGAGAAGTAAGGCGGTTCCTCACCTGAGACTACGTACAAATCGGTTAATGATCAGCATGAAAGTAGAGTTTTATTTTATTTGCACAAATCACAAACTACATCTCTTTTTTTTTTTTTTTTTTTTTTAACCCTACAGTTGTTTTCCCTTTTCATCTTATTTCTTTTTCTCACC